GTTAAGGTTCAAGCCAGGTTTCCGTGAAGAGGTGGATAAATTTATTGAAGCCGCAAAGAAGCATACAACGACATTGACAGAGAATAAGAATACAATTTGTCCCTGTAAGTCCAACAACACTCTACTATATGGCTACCATATAACTTCGAGTAGGTTCAACTTTATGCTTAAAGCTTTGTTCGATATATTTTATTCGATGCAAAAGAGTTTATCTAGTTCTATGATTAAATCCATGCAGCAACCACTAGATTTGTATAGGCGTCAATGTCGGAAGGAGCATGGCATGGGTCTTTGATTCAATAGATAGGGACCCAGTGACATACAAAGACTTCATATCGATTCTCAAAACATATACATATCGACAATCCTTAATAGCTTATATATTTGTATACATATTTGTAACGTTCACTTTTGGATACTAACAAGTTGTATTTGCTAAAATAATTCGAACATGGCATTTAAGTTCTATGTCACTAAACATCAAGGAAGGCATGATCCAGCAAGGAAGAAAAAGCTGACTATAAAAACACTATATACGGTAAGTGTAACTTACTTCTTCGGTACTACATTACATGGCTGTCAAAAACATTACTTAATATTTTCATATGCAAAACACACAGTGCCCCAAGCAGAAGCCTGGGAGTGTACATTGTGGATACTATGTATGTTCTATGATGAGTAACACCAGTGCCTACAGGAGACACCTCTTAAAGGTAAGTTTGAACCTCTTCACCTGTAGTATAAAAACTTCGTACATGGTATAACATACTAAACCAAAACTTGTTATCTTGTAGTGGAAAGAAGAGAAAGAAATGAAAAGAGACACATACAAGGATGACCAACTCTTAGAGCTCGTCGACGACCTTTGTAACTTTATATTGGACCAGATTACACGCGTCAAAGGTACCTGCCATGACCAAGAGTCTAACTTAGGTAGAAATCCTTAGTACCAACACCTTCGTGAGACTGAAAGGCTAGCTCTAGAACGTTGATAACAATATGTATGGAATTTGACATTGATTTTACCTTGTGAATTATGTCTATTTAATGATGGATTGTATATATTCTTATGAATTAGACTTGTAATTATAGTTTATATAATACTCTTGTGCTTCTAGTTTATATAATACTCTTGAGCGAACGCGGTTCGGAACGTTGGTCGCGGGGCGTTCGGCGGGATTATCTCGCTTTCCTCGCTCACGTTGGTCGCGGGGCGTTCGGCGGGGCGTTCGGCAACGTGAACGCTGATCGCAGGGCGTTCGGTGGAACGTTGGTCGCGGGACGTTCGACAACGCGAATGCTAGATGGAATACGTGGAAACAAACAGTGTTCTGGTCGAAATTGAATTGTAAATTTAATTTTTTATGAGAAATGTACTGTAGGGGGCGATTCTAGACTGAACCGCCCCTACAAATAGGTATTATAGGGGCGGCTGGTACTACAACCGTCCTTACAAATCGATTTGTAGGGGCGGCTGATAACACCAGCCGCCTCTATAAATCGATTTGTATGGGCGATCTGGGAACTACCCCTACAAATGCATGATTTATAGAGACGGTTTGGTAGGGGCGGCTGGCCAAACCGCCCCTACAAATAGTCTTGAGCCGCCCCTACAAATGATATATGTAGTAGTGCTTGCTGGCGATTATCCCATGTATAGGGTAGACCCAAGAAACCCAAATCAGAAAAGCCACACAAATTTACAACGTCATGGAAGCCGTCCATTTGTCTCTCCGACCTCGTCACTCCACCAAATTGCTCCTGAGCATCCAGAATCTTATTGAAATCCCCGGCACAGAGCCAAGGAGCACCACTCTGGTTTTTCGCGAACTCCATCAACTCCCAGCTACGATGTCGGTGTTCACGCCTCGTTTCACCGTAGAAACTAGTGAATCGCCAACGATCCGCACCCGTAGTTGGGTCAACCACCATCACATATATATGAAACTTGTCATACGATTGTAGCTTCACACAGACCTCATTCGACCAAAGAAGGGCGAGACCCCCTCCCCGACCAAAGCTACCAACTCCCACTCCATTAGGGAATCCCAGGTTACTACTCAAAACCTAAACATTATTAGAAAATAGTCTCGTCTCCAAAAGAAAAACCACCACTGGGTGATGTAGTTGTATCAAGCTACGCTCTTCTTGAACTGCCTCGTGCCGCCCCAAGCCCGGTAGTTCATACTTAGGATTTTCATTGATTCCTCCGGTGCCTGTGCACCAATCTCCTCAGTGCTTCTGTCCAGCTGAGTAACTCTCTCAGATACCAACCCAGCGGAACTAATACCGATGTATCAACATCCGGAAGGTTGAGATCCGGTGGCAGCGAAGAACTAGGACCATAGCCCTTTGCCTTCCTTTTCCTTAGAACAATCTGAGAATTTTCTTTCTGGGCTTGGAAAAGTTGGCGATTCACATTTGTTGCAAGTACATTGCCATCTTTCCTCCTAGTTGCCGATGCTTTCAGAGGTGAGATAACTTCTTCCTCATCCCTCACCGAACCAGCCTTTGGATCGTAGGGCCATGGGTCTTTAGATTTAGACATCTACCCTTGTCGATGATCCACTTCCATAGGACTCCGCTGCAGCTGTTGGGAAACTTTGAGGTTTCTTCTTTTTTCACCTCAGGAGCTTTGAGTTTGATATCATAAGGTAGTCTGCCCGCAATGCTACGAACAACTGGTTGTCCACAATCCAGCTCCGAGTGTCCCATGATGCCGCAAGAGAGACAATAGAAAGGAAGTTTCTCATATTGTATGTCAAACTATTCTGGTTCCACATCCTTCCTCGTCTTCAATAGCACACCCCTCCCCAAGGGTTTTGCTACTTCAATGGCTACACGAGCACAAAGGGAAGGGCCACTAGCCTTTCCATCCCTGTCCACATCCATCTTCTTCACTACACCTATCACCCCATAGCGCGCTCACCACGATGTCGGTTCATCCAGCCCAACGGAAGGTTCAAAATTCGAACCCATATCTCCATACGATCGAACTCAATCTCCAATGGCCTGAGCCTTTCATCATAGTGCTATAACAACAGGGCATGTTTCCCCACCATCCATGGAGAGCCGCCAAGCGCCCGCTCCTTGTCCTGCTAGAAATTGAATTCAACAACAAAAAGATTTTCTTCCTTTTCACCGATTGTTCTGATCTTCAGGCTATATGGGTTTCCCCAGGCCGGCTTCATCGCACGGAAGGTCATGGTCGGGCGTGCACTGTCGTCAGTGAGAGGATCTTACCAACTAGCACCCCATTCCACCACCGAGTCCTCCCCAGCATCTTCATCATCGCTGAAAGCTGCAATGTCCCCTTCCTCGGCTGTCAAGTTCAGGTTCCGCAGCAATTCAGCAACATTGGTCTTCGGTTCAACCGGGGCTCCACTACCGATCGTGGCCATGGCCTGCATATCGGAGAAGAGAAACAAGGATGTGTCGCGCGCACGAGGCAAAGCACTCACACCAAATCAGTCTTGACCTAGGGTTCCTAAGCGGCGCTTACCCCTAGTGGGAAAATTTTGTGGTCAACAACGCCGGATCGGCTAACCGGCGATATGCGGTGGCCGCCGCCGACCGGAGTTGGTGGCGTAGCGTGGACGCCGAGACCAACGTGGTCACCGGCGGTAGCAGACCTTGGATCACCGGCGAGGTGATCTAGATTAGGGTCAGGCATGCGATCATCTTCAGAATCGCCAGCACGGGGACTCTGGATTTTCCGAATCTCCTAACCATCGCGCTGGGGACATGGTCTCGACTTGCCTATTGACTGTCGAATTCCCAGGTTATAACATTCGCGTTAAATACGAGGAAGAACATACTTTTTTTTATTCCAAGCCATGGCTCTAGGGCCTTGTCATTATAACCGGTGACTCGACAACATCGCGAGATACAAGGTTCATTACAAATTCTTGGAGGGGGCTTATCCAAACAAAGGATTCGCCCAGGTCCCAACCCAAACTCAGACTAGCAAGATTATGTGCCGCTGAATTACATTCTCTAGGCACTAGAAGGATATCACTACACATGAAGTGGTCATGGGGAAGAGCCTGGACATCCTTGATGAGCATCCCGCAAGCAGCAAAATCCATGTGGGATGTGCAAAGCGCCTGCCGCAGTGTAGAACAATCCATTTCCAATTGAATCAGCGAGATCCCGAAATCAGTCACCGTTTGGAGAGCATTGGCACAGGCTGTTGTTTCTGCTGTAAAAGCATCCAGCACCACTCCTGATCTTCCGGCCCCAGCAGCAACCACTTCTCCTTGATGATCCCGGACAACAAATCCCCATCCGCCACTCAGCGTTTCCTCGACAAAAGCACCATCAATATCGATTTTCAGTTGCCCCTCAGGTGGCGGTGTCCACTTCTGTGTTGCTCTGGAAGCTCGGGTTGGCTGATCCAGGTCACTAAGCAGCCGGAGTACATCACCAGCCACCTCTTCACATGTTAATCCCTTCTCAAGATATAAAAATGGGTAAAATTTTAGTTTTTTCCACGAGGAGACAATAAAGGCTCGTTTGGGAGGGCTCCGGCTCCTGCCTGTCGGCCTCTGGGAGGCCGACACCCTGCTACAGTGCAAGAGCCGGAGCCCTGCCAAACGAGCCCTAAAATTGTAAATGCATTTAGTGCAAAGGAGACCAGTGACACCCTGCTATAGTGCAAGAGCCGGAGCCCTGCCAAACGAGCCATAAAATTGTAAATGCATTTAGTGCAAAGGAGACTAGTGGGCTGCGCTGCCATCGCCTTCGGTCGGACCAGCCCAACGGCCCATACTTTGAACGCGTTGGGCCAGCGCCCAGGGAAAGCAGAAGCAGGCGCATGTTAGGTAGGGTTCCAGTGGACGTCTCGTCACGTGACCCGATTGCGGCCTTGTGGGCACAGTACGAGGCCATCGCCGCTCGCCCGCTCCACACCAGTCCGTGGCCGTCGGAGCAGGGCTGCGCCACCTCTCTGGCTACCGTAGGCTGCTGCGCGGGCGCACACACAGGCGGCGGCGCTAACCATGTCGTCGCGTAAGGTTCTCCTAGGCCTCGCCTCCGGGAGGCGGCTCCCGTCCCGCACTCAGCAACTCTTCTGGGCCGCCGATCTCCCTGTAGCTACCACCTCTCGCTCCCTCGCGGCCGCCGCTGCCACGGCGCTGCCGTCGGGCGGGTTTCCAGCGGCTCTTCTGTTCTCTTTGAGGACCATCTCGTCAACGCGCCTCTCGACACAGTCCGCCTCCGGTGACGCGCCCGGCCCATCTGCGGTGCACTACAAGTTTGTTTCTCGACCTCGTAGCCTCAGCGCGTTATTATTATTCCATCTATTTATGCACTCTAGGGTAGTTTGGAAAGCTTTCAAGTTCGAATGGGTCCGATGGAGAAATTGGATACATCTCACTTGTAAGATCGTAGGATGTTTGCTATAGCAATTTTTGTTTGGATCTGTGGTCTCTACGAATTCTGACTTCCTTGGGACGAAAATGTTTTGTTGTATTTGTGGCCTCCACCTGTGTCAATTGGTAACCTAAACTAGGTACTCAAAACGCAATGTAATTTTCCAATATAGTGTCAATGGATAAAGGATAATACAGGTTGCTAGGAGAGATAACAGTTGCTTGAATCAACAAACTGAAATGTGGAAAAGTTGATCACAACAATTTAGAGTAAAATCTGATCTTCAGTATGTTTACTGTTTTTACTTTATATATTGTTCTAGTTTGGTTACGTGAGACTTGCCATATAGTTTTTTGTCGCATGGGGTATTTATTGATTATATGACTGTGCACATTGAACAGGTTGATAATGCAAGAGGATGAGTTTCACAAATTAGCAGATGAGACGATTCATGACTTGCTTGAAAAACTTGAGGTAGTGATACGGTCTTCAAATCTCAGCACTTGAGCAAAAACTCTCTTAGAAGATGTTAAGTCACCGTACCTTTGACCAATACTATTCTTCATGTCGCCGTTTTAGGAATACGGTGACTCCATTCAGATGGATGGTTTCGACATAGACTATGGGGTTAGTTGCAGCATGTTATGGAGAATCATGTGAATCTTGCGATTATGTGTTTTCTTTTTCATGTATTCAATTATTGATGCATCCTTCTCTTTTCCTTGACATTCTAGAATCAGGTTTTGACACTGAGGCTTGGGGATTTGGGGACGTATGTTGTAAACAAGCAAACACCAAACAGATAAATCTGGCTTTCTTCACCTGTAAGGTAATACAATGCATCTTAGTATCTCAGTTGCTGTTCGTTTCATTATGTATTGGACCCTTGAGTTTGATAGGCATATAGTTTCAGGAACCTGTCACTGTGGGTACATGCCTTTTTTTGGGAAGGAACACATGATATTTTTTTAATAGAAGACAGTGATCATTTGTGATATGTGGTTTGGTTTACCCGGTAGGCTATGCATCTTATGATGTGGCTCTGAAATTTATCCATTCTTGATTTCCAATCAAATAGACCCACAATTGGATATCTTGTACAACACCCAAAAGCTCTTTATTGAATTGTCTGCTGTCTTTATTCTTATATCTTATATAAAAAAATGCTACCTGGATATGCATGCAGTGGGCCTTCTAGGTTTGACTGGGATGTGGCAACTAATGGTTGGATATACAAGCGAACTGGAGTGAATCTTGTGCAGCTTCTGGAGAAGGAGATTGGTGAGCTGTGCCGTACTCCAGTAGAACTTTCATAACAGTACTGTAGTACATGAAATACCACACAACTAGGTTGGATGGAGAGCAGTGCGCTTGAGGTAAAGTATGAATGAGAACCCTCTTGTAATATGGTTATTCACAAAATTTTGTTCTGCACATTTGCACACTGTTCAGGATAAATAATTTCCTTCGCTGATAACGGGACAAAGTAAACATCAGGCACATATCTTTGCTTCGAGATGCCCTAGAGACCACAAGTGAATGCTCATGGTACTTTGTTGTATAATTTTCACCTTTTGTTAGTATCATAATATGAGTCAGTTTGTCAGACTACATTAGTGTTTCCGAATTCAATATCACATTGGGGTTGGACCAAATTGACGAGAGATCACTATATTCTGTTGCACTAGCTACTAAGTAACAAGGATCAAATTACATCAATATTGAAACACCCTGTGTGCCTCTTCTTCCATCAGCTCAGGGCTCAGTCTGACCATGAGAATGCAGAACTCCATCTGATCCAGTGCCCCATCCCCGTCCAGATCCCCTTCCCTCACCATCTCCAGGAGCTCATCATCGTGGAGCTCTCCAAGCCCGAGCCTGGCCACATTCTGCTTCAGGCTCTGGAAGGTGATCTTGCCTGTCCTGGGTTCCATGAGCATCTGGAACCCTTTGCAGAGCTCCTGAATCAGCCCCTCCACCCCGAGCTTCCTCGCCATCAACGGCAGGAAGTCCTGGAACTGCATGGAGGAGCCCTTGTCTGAGCCCGAACTGGAATTGTCCTGGGAGATCATGGTGAAGATTGAAGATCTGACAATGGCTGTGGTAGATGGGTGATGGAGAGGGAGGTAGTTGGTTATATAAGGGGGATGCGTGAATCCATGGAGGTTCTCGGAAGCAGTCTCCCCGTGCATGCCAACCGAAGTACAGGTAATTGCAGGCTTCCCGCATCCCCCATCTGCCTATCTCCAGGTGGTTGCTGCGTCCGGTGGTTTTGGTTTGGTTTCTGCGAAATAGCACACAAGGCTAGCTGGCTTCCGCGAGATCTCAAAGATTGGTTGCTTGAACGGGTCTTGTTTCTTCTCTTTCTTTTTCGCAGTTGACTTACGTAAACAGGGGCTTAAATGTTTAGATCATATAAGAAAACGGATACTGGCTGTGGCCGGAAGTCCTGGTATGAACAGAAGACGGTGGCTGATGCTCATAATAATTTGCGATCTGGAGTCCGGTGGTGTTGTTTTCTCGTTTTTTTTTTATCGTTATGTGACGTTCTAGGATCCTGGACGGTGTCACGTGTGGGCCCAAAACGTCAGGTATCCTGGTGATATGCACAAAGATTATGACGGCATAGGATATGAAACGATGAGGGTTCCATTCTGGTGCGGTCTGCTGAACATAGAAACTTCGTTCAAGGCTATGATCGGCTTGGTGTTTGCTTATGGTTCCTCGACAGTTTCATCTTATTTGCCATGTGTGACGTGCTTGGCATCGCCCATACGATGAACTGAAGAGCGCGGAGGGATCTCTTTCCTACTATTTTGTCCTCGTACTTGCCCACCATAGGAGAATACTTGCCCATCACCTTTTCTTTGGAACTTAGCACTGTTGCCCATCACTTAATTTCTTCCTGGTCTGTTTTGTTTTTCCAGGGGACTTACACTTTTTTTCTCTCTCTCAAAAAAAAGATACCTCTTCAGTGTGTTCTGTGATATAGAGACGGAATAGAGAGAAAGGCATTGCCGGCCCACTAAAATGCCCGACATCTTTCGTTCGTTTTGCCCAGCCCGGCTCTAGAGTTCAGTACATCCAGTTCGGCTTAGCAAGCTGGACCGTCCTACTACTACTGCCACAAACTTCATAACCCAATTACCCAATATAGGCTCCTTGGGACAGGCCAAGGCCCTCGCCATTCTTTACTAGAGGTGTTTGTTCCAGACACTAAAGTTTAGCCCTGTCACATCGGACGTTCGGATGCTAATTAGAAGAACTAAACATGAGTTAATTATAAAACTAATTACACAGATGCAGACTAATTTATGAGATAAATCTATTAAGCCTAATTAATTCATCATTAGCACATATTTACCGTAGCACCACATTATCAAATCATGGACTAATTAGGCTTAATAGATTCATCTCGCAAATTAGTCTCAATCTGTGCAGTTAGTTTTGTAATTAGTCTATATTTAATAGACTAAATTAGTGTCAAACATCCGATTTAACAGGGACTAAAATTTAGTCCGTGGAACCAAACACCCCCTTAGTCCGTCTGTCGTGCTGCCGACCAGCCGTATAGCCATTGACTCCACCGTTGACTCTATCTCCATTAGTCTTTACAGGACAGTCACGTTGATGTTCGAACGCCTACAAAGACGGCCCTGTCTCCGGCTTTTCTCTATACGTGCACGAACATCTGCCCTCTGCATTATGGGTAGCCAGCAGTGGCTTCTTAGCGACGCTTTGTTCTTCCTACACGCACATGGGCTCCGCGCTCCGCGTTATGGTTAACAGGCTAGCTAGGGCTGGAGACTCAGCTACACACTAACTGGTCAGACGGTTTATATTAAATATAAACACATCTTCAGAATAACACTAAGTGTTCACACCAACCGATCACCGAGCTGAATATGCTATTTCATCACCATTGTTGATTCATCGCCGAGTTCATATATTTTACATCATATGCTACTTATTCTACATATTTGTTTCACAGGGGCACGGCTCGGACAACGAGCCTACGCTCAGGGACTGGACAAGATGTCCGGGTGGTCGAACCACCTGTCAGATGGACTTCACCGCCAACCAGTTGGTCGGACTGCTCGGCACTCACTCCTCCTCGGCGTTCCGTCACTTCGCCGCCGACCAGTTGGTTGGGCTACTCGGCGCACGTTTCTTCGCCAACCAACTGGTCGGATTGTTCGTCGCTTCACCGTCAGCTACGCTGAGGCTCGTCTGCTAATCTGGGGACTCCTCGACGTTCCATCACTTCACCGTCGACCAGTTGGTTGGGCTACTCGGCGCACGTTTCTTCGCCAACCAACGGTTCGGATTGTCCGTCGTTTCTTCATCAGCTATGCTGGGGCTCGCCAGCTAAGCTGAGGACTCCTCAGCGTTCCGTCACTTCACCGCCGACCAGTTGGTTGGGCTGCTCGGTGCACGTTTCTTCGTCAACCAACTGGTCGGATTGTCCGTTGCTTCATCGTTTGCTACGCTGGGAGCTCGCCAGCTAAGCTGGGGACTCCTCGGCGTCCCGATTCTTCGTGCAAGCGCCGCTTGACTAACACGGGACTCCTTGGTGGTCGGATCTTTCACGCCTCATCGGTGTGCTATCGGCTTGCTCCATCTTTGTTCGGATCGTAGTCTTGATTTTGGACAACACGTCTAGGGTCTTGATACGCACATGATAGATGACATTGGCAAGCTTTTTAGGCTTATTTTCTTTGACCTGCTACAAGATTCATTCTTCATCTTTCGTGATCTCGGGGACTAAGTGGCTACACTTCACCTAGCGGTGAATGTAGTGCTTATTTCTTGATTTACCCTCCTTATCGATTTTGAGTCTAAGTGGCTATACTTCTTCTAAGTGGAAGAATTTTCAAATTTCATCTTGAGCCCCTTACATCCTTCTGGCAAGCCTTACTTGGCTAAGTCCGAGGTCTCCTAACCAGTTAAACTGGTCGGCATTGACTTTCACCACCCAGGTCACCAGTTAAGCTGGTCGGCTTCAACTTTCACTGCTCGGATCACCAGTTAAACTTGTCGGCTTTACGTCAAACTGCTCAGACTTATTCAAGACAGCGTTGCTCAAAGGATACAAGGCGCTCGGGGACTAGCTGTGGGGTATGGCCCCCGGTATCTATAAGACAAGACATGGGCTGCACCATCAGAGGTGGCCCAGCCCATAAGGTCAAGGCGTACGGCGCACGGCACTGGTCGGCGTGCACCGCAAGGCTACAAGAAGATATTGTAATACCAAATATGATATTTTTCTTATAACCCTACCCCTCCAGAGTATATAAGGAGAGACAGGGGTCCCCTAGAGGATATATCGAATCTTATATACAATACACCAAAGACACAGGACGTAGGGTATTACGTCGATCAGATGGCCCGAACCTGTCTAAATCGCTGTCTCTACGCCTTGTGTCACCATCCGGTTCCTAATTACGCGCACCTCCATCGATAAATCTACTATCGTGGGATACCCCTCGGTGGACTGTTGAGCATCTTTTGTCGACAGTGAGCCTCTGCTCCAAGTCATCGTTTTGTAGCTTGGCAAGGACATCATCAAGCCGCTAGACCTGGGACACTGCTGTTGCCGATGAACCACTGCTGCAGAACCTGTCCTTGACCCTAGACACCGCTGCAGCACCTCGCCCAAGTATAGCAGCCACATCGACCCCCTTTGCAGGCCTGTCGTCGTCCCTACTGGACTGCTGCCACCAAGCCTCCACCTTGCCAAACCCTGCAGTCCACCTCGTCTTTGACTACCGCTAAGAGCAGCAGCTGCTGGACCTCGCCGACGCGTCCCAACCCGCCTGCAACCATGTCCAGACGACCGTAGCCACCCGCAGCAGACCACAGCCAACCAGAACCTACTGCAGCTGGCCGTGGGAAGCCCGAACGCTCCACAGCAGCCCTCTCGTCGTCAAGGTTGAGGCTTTCAAACCCGTCGATGCCATCCACGACGTCGACACATCACCTGTTTTTCATTTCATTCATACTTGATCATATACATGCTCTATCCATATCTATGCATGCACCGTGCCTTCGTGCCGGTCTATCTCAAGTGTTACAGTTATGTGCTACTACATGTCGTGTTCTTTGTGTCGGTTCTTTGTGTGTTTGTGTTGTTGTCTATGGACCAAGCCTTCGAGCCGGTCGAGGGATCGTATCTCGTTCGAACGTTTCGGTCGTAGGATTCGTCCGCCATGGCCGTAATGCCGAGCGTAACTCAACCCCTTGTTTTTAGTTGACTTTGTAATGCCGTGATCATTGGCCCCTCCTACGGCCCTAGGACGTGGCCAACATGGGCTCGGCATCGGTGCGCTTCCTACCCGCTTTACGATAAGCCCATCTTTGACCAGTCTACTAGGGATAAATTAAGGGACAACCATCTTGGAGTTTATGGAAGCCGACTTGTGTAGGTGAAGCTCATGGTCGTGAGTCACCTCGCCATGACCATCGGGCTCTACCTCTTTTGCTCTCCTTTGCTCTTTGTTCTTCCTAACCATCTCGTATGCTTGTGCCACATTGATCGTAGCATTTCTTTGGTTCTCACGATGATAATCGCACCGCTATGAACCACAGGAATAGCAAAGTGCCGATCTAGTTGCACATAGGTCGTGGTGCCCTACGAGGTGGTGTGTGGATCGAGAGATCCCGAGATTTGTGTCTCTTTTCTTTCAACCCTTGCCCTTTCTTATGACGATCGGATCAAAGACCGGACTATCATTTCTAGTTGGTGAAGTTTAGGTCTATGTTGTATTCTCGGAACCACGAGAGTCGACCCAATCGACCATAGAGTGCCATCTATACCGAGGATGTGGCATGGACATGCCTAGCTGACTTTCTCCTTTTTAAGCCCGAGGAAAAACAGACTCGCTTCGTGAGGGCTAGCCTTGTGTTTTCTGTGGTGTTTGCTTTAGTTGAGCTAGGGTCTAGGCTATTATACTTGAAGCCATACAGGTCGACACGATCGACCCGGGAAGTACTGGCTAGGCTATGACTTCAGCTTGTGCTTAGCAAACCACCACTTCTATTTCTCTCTAACCCAAGGATTGGACATCCTTCGTGAGGGCTAAGTCCTTTTTGCTTTAGTGTTCTTTTGGTGTTATTCGATCTTTTTGTGTCTTGTTGCCTTTTTAGAGTATTGATTGCTCTTTTTCCTTGTATGTAGCCCTTTTGCGGTAGT